ACACACACACACACACACACACACATGTACGGTTTATAAAACGTTCGAAATATAGTCGGTGTTAATTATGACTACGACGTGTGTAGTCATTTAAGAGGTTTCCCCTTTTTTTTATACAAATTAAAATAATTTGTATAGTTGCGGTATAGACTAAGACTAATTTGTTTTTAAATTATTTTGGGTTATCAGAGATTTAGGGCTATCTTCTCTTTCTTTTGTGCAGAGAAATAAATATTAATTAGAAAATAGATTTACTAAAACAGGATCGTCCGATGACATCGTGTGTTGAATTAATTCAGTTTTGTTTAGTTTCTTTTGTGATGTTGAGATCAAACGTATTTTTGAGAATGTTGTTTGACTTGTCTCGTAAGTGTTGGTAATTTTGGCATGTGACGGCGAAATGAAATTCGTTTTCCACTTCGCCAGAATCACATAGTTTACAGATACGTTCTTCTCGAGGTATATTTTCGTATCTTCCTCGTTCAATTTGTAGCTTATGGTTGCTTATACGATATTGGGAAAATGTTCTTCTTCTTGTTAGATTTTGAATAAGGGAAAAGTGTTCTTCCATTTTGTATTCATTTTTGAATTTACAAAAGAAAGAGAGTTTGGAGGAGTTGATCATGAGTTGATTGTCGCCAGAATTCAAAATATTTCACCAAAGGCGTATGGTGCTGTTGTATACGTCAGAGTAACCCAACCGAATGGTGATGTTGACACCCATCTTGTCATTTCGAAAACCAGATCGAGTGGCCCCTGCGAAGGTCGTGTCGTTACCCAGACTTGAACTGCTTGCCGCTGGGATCAATTTGCGGTTATTGAAATTTGTTGCAGAGTCATTATCAGTTTCAAAAGAAATAGAGCGCGTAGTTTGTTAGACAGACAGTGAAGTCACACTTCACCGGATTTGAGGGCTTAACTCACAATGGAAGACTTTCGTTGCTAACCGTGTTGCAGAGATTCAACAGATGTGGGATCCGCAGAAATGGAGGCACTGTCCAGGGGTGGAAAATCCCGCCGACTTACTGACTCGTGGAGTAACATCGAGAAATCTGAAAGAGAGCGATTTGTGGTGGAAAGGTCCTTCATGGTTGTCATTCGCTGAGGAAACGTGGCCAAATCAGAAATTAAATCAAGCTTCTACACGAGATGCTCAAAAGGAAAGGAAAGCTAAGCCAGTTCAAAACTTTGTTACTGTTTCAAATAAGCCAGTTATCGACCATGGGCGTTTTGAACGATGGATCAAGTTAATACAAGTTACGGCGTGCGTTTTGAGATTTGCAGCCAACTTGAAATTAAAGAAGCATGATTACCCTAAAGAATTGTTAGCTGATGGATGAAATTGCAAAGGCTGAAACCTTTTAGTATCGTCATATTCAGAAAGAAGCCTTTCCCGAAGAGTATGAAAGATTAGCATCAGGCAAGACGCTACAACGGAACAGTCGCATTTTGAAGCTAGATCCGCACTTTGATAAGAAGAGTCGTACCCTGAGAGTAGGTGGGAAGTTACAGTATTCAGACTTACTTGAAGCCACTAAACATCCAGTTATTATTCCACACGAACACCCTCTTACAGAGAAGATCATCCAGAAAAGACACCAGGAATTACTCCATGCCGGACCTGAAATGACTCTTTCCGTTCTACGCCAGGGCATCTGGTTGACCAAGGGAAGACGCGAAGTCAAGAGGATTATTGGTCGATGCATTACCTGTCAACATCAAAGAAAGGGTCCTTTGACACAGAAGGTGGGGTCCTTTGCCACACGAACGAGTTTCATTTTCGCCACCATTTACCCACGTAGGAGTAGACTTTACGCGACAAGACACCAAAAAAAGCTTACGTGTGTATCTTTACGTGTGCTTCTTCTCGCATGGTGCACATAGAACTGGTTAAAGATATGTCAACGAATGAATTCCTCCAAGCCTTAAGTCGTATGATCGGTAGGAGAGGACTTTGCGAAATTATGTGGTCTGATAATGCCAAGACCTTTAAATCTGCAGAGCAAAAGATTCGAACTTTATTCGGCTCAGTCATCCGATACAATGTTATTTTCGGGAAAATGTGATATCTCCGGAAAATTTTTTGGAATGTCCGAAAATTTTTTTTGAGATGGCCCTCCCCCCGTCTCCAACATTTCATTCGAAAAGTACCCTTCAAAGCCTGCCCCAACTTTTAGATGCTTCCTACGCACCTGGATATTCATAAAGTTTTATTCTATTATGTGTTCTTTCATGTGACAATAACTAAATTGTTTGACGTTGAATAATGTTTGATACAAATCTTAGCAAGCCTCATATACAGGATGTGCTTGTCTGTATCATGATTTGTTGCAGTGTATATTGTTTACTTAAACAAATTTGCCCATGTTGGTATGTTTGCCAGAATCATAATATTTTTTCACAATGTCAACATGGGATTCTCACATTCATAAGGTAATTGTGAGTGTGGTGCCTTTAGTCCATTACTTTCTAAACACCTGCCTATATTAAAGACGTAAGTACTAAACACCTGCCTATAAGACATGATTATAATTTAAAAATGGAACCAATATTGTTGCACTATTCAGTTATAGCACTTTATTTTTATAATTTATATGATAAAATATCGTACGATGGCAGTTTAACTTTTTAAAACTGCTAGTACTCAGCCTATAAATAGAATGCTGTCAATGCATTGTGACCACCACATTGGCATGTATTATCCTGCTTAAATAATATCATCTTCATCAAGCTAAGTACTTATTTAATCGTAGCTTGCCAACTTGTGTAAAATAGTCTAAATTGATTTCATTGTTAAATGAACAACTCAGTCACAACCATCACTCACTCAGTTTCCCTGTGTCCGTACAGATAACAAGACAAGACTTACATTAAAAAATTCTGTCATAAAATATTTTTTCAGATAAAGAGTAAGATACCACCTGCATTTCAGAATATAAGTTCTACCAACCAAAATGAATAAAAAGGTCAAAAAACAACAATAGAAAACATAGAATATAAACTCCATTTATACTCCACTCCCTAGCTTGGCACCATATTGAATTTCGCGGTCGCGCCGGTAAAGGCCTGGGGACTAGGATGCCGTATCTGAAAATCAACACCACAGAATACTACACAGAAGTCCATCTTCATTGTTTTTTTACGTAAGCTCTATTCGGACCCGGACTCGAAGAAACTCCGGACCCGGACTCGAAGAAAATCCGGACTCGTGGTTAAAAAACCCGGACTTAACTTTTGAAAACCCGGACTAAAAATAGAGAAAACCGGGTTCGAAACAAGGACTCTGTGTACGAGAATGCAAAGGTTTTTTGGAAAGGTTGAATAGTTAACATGATAAACGATGATCTCTTTACAACAATAATCAGTATAAATAAATTTCTAGAGTGCTTTTAAACTATCTGGCGCAGTGCTGATAAAGAATCTGAGTTGCATCGGTAATAATTCGCCGATTTGTGCTCTCGCGCGGGTGTCCCTCTCTCTTCCAGCTTTCTATATTGATATGTATAAATAGAATACTTTATTTCAAAAGCAATAAGCATTGGTTTCGAAAGATGTAGATCATTTTTTTCTTTTAGTGACTCAGTGTTATGTGTCAGGTGAGGATATATTAATCAGTAATATACTATATGAACAAATCATTTAGGCACGTAAACACCAAAATGCCGAGTTTATGCGTACTTCTGCGAGTAGCTAAATCTACCCTAGACCTAAATTAATAACTAAAATCTGTCTCAGCAGTCAGGAATGTCTTGTCTGGAAACCATCTCGTTACACGATTGCTGCAACCATAACAGACAACGTGATGGCGGCAAGGGTAAAATATATCCCCAACACAATCGACTTCACATACAAGTACTGATGCGCTACTACAGTGGACAGCACACTTTCGAAAAATTTGTCAAAATGACATGAAAAATAACTCGATCGTGTTTTGTGGCTTGGCATCAATTCATTTCAATGATAGTGAATCCAATGATAGCTTTTCAAAGTCCCGAATATATATATATATATATATATATATATATATATATATATATATATATATATATATATATATATATTCCGTTTTAGCAAAGTAACTTCAACCAATCAAAAAGAGCGCCGGAAAAGCACATCACATGCTGAAGGCAATGAAAGTGTCGCGGCAATCGCGCTTAAATACCGACTGTGAAGTAATTCGAGCGCTGTGCGGATGGACATAAATTTGATATTATATTCATGCTCTCAAATATTTGGGCAAGTCGCTACTGGAAACACGTTTATTTTCTCAATTTCGTTGAGATAAAGTCTATAAACACGAGCTGAACACCCGCAATTATTCCTAATCAAAAATAGTAGAAAACACATCACAATTAAAGCAATCTTAAGTGGAAGCAGAAAAGGTGTCGCAGCACCCGCAGCCTAAAAATGCCGACAGTGAAATTCGCGTTGGGTGGATTGGCATAAATTTGATATTGAGACCCTCTCGTTAGGCAATGCGCTCATCAATTGCCCCAAACACCTTGCATACAACCGCGGCTCCAGTGGCGTGCTGGCAGGGGGGGGCCGGGGGGCCAGGGCCCCCCAGCTGCAATTCTTGGGGGGCGCAAAAATGAAAAGGGGGCGCCGATCCCACGATCTTCGAAAAAATATAGTTACTTCCGCCAAGAAACTGAAGAGATGTGTTTATAGGCTTATAAACAGACTATGAATATAGGCGACAAAGTGATATATTAAATTATAGACTATTTTGTCTAACCGTATTTGCTAATTTGCTACCTCACGGCTCACACGAAATCGTTCATATAGAAACATGATCAGTGATCACACGCAATGTCTCTTTACCGGAACATTGGTCAGGTTTCGAAGCGATCACGGGAATTATGCCCTTTTTTCCTGGCATTATGCTCTTATATTACGCCCTTTATTATGCTTCACGAACCACGAGAGCGGCGCAAATTAGATAATTGAAGTTATGATAATGTAAAGTTGTGTACGCAATTTAGTTGCTTGCGCAAGAAACATCATGAGTAATCAGTAAGTAATGAAATAATGCTGAAACGCGTCCTTTTGGCAGCCAAGAAAGGAAACCTTAAAATGCATATGCGTGGGGTCCGTGTGTTGTTATATAAAAGAGATGTAAGTTGTAAATGTTTTCAGATCACTAGATCAGTAGAGAATAGAATTGGGGTTAGATTAATAGCTGGAAGTAGTTAGCATTGCCCAATTTAAGTACTACTACTAAATTCTAACCAAATTGCAAATTTCGACACGTTATAATGCCGTTTCCTGACCATCAGATTCTGTCAAATCTTCCCCCAAACAGGGGCGGATCTAGGGGTCGTCAAATCATTCGCGCGACTGAAGTAAAAATTGCCTACTTAAATTGACTCCAGTTATCTATAGTGGCCAGTAGATCGAGTTACTAAAATTTTGAATCGTACCGGTAGTCCAGTTATACGTTTCATGCTGCGGCAGAGCTTCGGCAAAGTAATGTTAGTCAGTCACGAACAGCGGTCTTACGCATGAAAGTTGACGGATTCGGGGTCAAATCCGGCTATCTGATTGGCTGACACGCTCATTTCCATGGTTACGGCCATTTGCGACGGATCTGTGGGGAGGCCTGACGGATTTGCAGATTCAGGGGCTCTGTATGAGCCTTCTGATTGAACCATTTAAAAAAATTCTGCACTATCATTGGCTTATATTTTCGACGGATTCGCGACGTGAGGT